GCCAAGCTTTATGCTAATGAACTATAAATGAGAAACCTGGGGGAGGGGGGAGGGGGGAGGGGGAGGGGGGGAGGGGAGGGGTGGAGGGGAGGTAATCAGATATAATTCGAGGAAGGAAGGATAGCTTCGTTTCCCCGTATCAGAAGCCCCTCGCCGGCATGAGGGACATATGAACGACTGAGGAGACAGAAGAGGGAAGGGGGAAAAGAGAGAGCGAAAAAGGGAGGAAGGGGAGCATCAACCTGGGAAAATGATATATCGACAGGTACGTCAATAAATAGGCAGGATATGAACGGGGAAAAAATTGCGGGATAAAGGAAAGAAAAATTATGCCATCAGAACGATAGAAGGCTGGTGTGTTGTGTGTGTGTGTGTGTGTGGGGTTGTGGGGTGTGTGTGTGCACGTGAGTGTGCCCCATTTGGGTGAATTTTTTTTAAAAAAAATGAGGATAAACGTGTTTTGGGAGGTATGTTTAAAAAGACTTGCGCAGTACACCAAAACCCAGTGCTTCCACCTTGGGAGTGGCCCCCACGACCAGCTCTGTCCTAACCCACGCATTATGGGCTGAGTGAACATTTTTAAGCAGACACAACACCAGTGGGGACCAGAGGGGGCAAAAAAATTAAATTCATGCTTGTGTTAATTTTTTTAATTTTTTTTAATTATTTAAATTTTATTAAGGTTTTAAAAGTGAATGGTATCTATCAAGTAAACAAATCGTGATTAATTATATAAAATAGAAAATATGAAAGCTATTCCTTTGAGCAACATTGCATTATTCTAGTTATTTTTGATTTTGATTTTGCTTTTTTTCAAAAAAACAAATAAAATAAGGGGACCCTCTTCGGTAGGCCTTTCATTAGTATTCGACCTCCAGGGGGGCAGTTTTTGTGCTTTTTTGACAGCAGTAGTGTTGAAAAAAAATATATTAAAACAGATTTTTAAAACCCAATTTGAAAACAAGGAAAATATGAAGCATGTCACCATTGGTTTTTCCCCCCAAGCAGGTCCCCTGGGGCCCCACCTGGAACCCCAGGGTGTCTACCAAGCGGGGTCCCTGAGGGCCCCACCCGGGGATACCCCAGGGGTCTCCCAAGCAGGTCCCTGAGGGCCCCAGCCTGGGTCCCCCAGGGGGGGTTACCAAGCAGATCCCTAGGGCCCCCCAGTGGGTACCCCGGGGTGTTTACTAATTTGGGTTTGAAAAGCATTTGTTAGTTATGAAAGGATGTTGGGTAGCTTTTTCATGTGGTATTTTTAAATGGGACAGATAAAAAAGATCTTTATTTATGTTTTTAAAGTGTGAGCAAAGTTAGACTTTTTGGGTGGTATCATTGGGGTATAAAGACCGAAAAAAGTGAATTAACAAAATTTAAAAGGAGTTATTTGGAAGATGTAAGCAATATTAGGAAAAAATGCAAAAAATCAGGTAATGAAAAAAGTCGAAAAGGTATAGGTATTTTTAAGAAATGCAGTATAAAGCCAGCGGAAAGTTTGTAGGTAAAGGGGGGGTGGGTCAGTGGGAAGGCAGAAAATTAGTGGAATGATGAGATAAGAAGGCGTTAAGTGAAATTAGCGTGTGAGAAGTTTTTTGCAAGATGGAGTAAAATAAAAACACCAAAAAAGGAGGTCGAAAGATTTGTGATGGTGTGAAAAAAGGGGGAAAAGCCAGTGATACAATGGTGAGGTTCTATCCAATTGAAAATAAAAAATTTTTTTGAAAATAAAATAGTTTTGGAAGAGATTAATAAAAGAGCGAGCCAAGGGGGAAAAGGACTTTCAATTTAAAAAAAAAAAGAAGGGGGGAATAAAAATTTTCGAAGTAAGGAAGAGCAGTTGTAGTTGGGAGAAGTGAATGGTAAGGATGGAATGAAAGGATACTGTTGAGATTAAGAAAAAATATATTAAAATAAGGTGAAAATATAGTTTAAGTGGGTAATTGTTCAATTAAAAACATAAAAAAAGGGGAAGGAATCAAAGGGCTGAGGGAACTTTCAAGTTTTTTGAAGTAAAAGGAAAAGGGGGTCGGAGAGGTGTAAAAATTATAAGGAATAAATTATTGGTTTGCCAGGCAAAATGAGGTAGAATTTTTTTTTAAAAAAGTTGGGGCAAGACAGAGTAGGTTGAAGGGGTTAAAAGGATTGGAAAGGGTAGGAGATGTGTACATTAGTGTTGCACTGAAATATAAGTAATTTATGTATTTATAAAAGGTTTTTTCATAGGTGGTTGGGGACAGTGTGGGAAAAGTTGAAAAGTGCGGAATAAATAATAGGTTTTTAATAGCAGTAGTGAGGATACTAGGTCAGGTCAGAGCATTGTGGAGAAAAAAGGGGGCAGTTTTCCCAGAAAATCTAGGGCCCCAGAAGGAATGTTAATGTCGCCTGTTTTTAAACATATTTAAAGATGTGTTGCATAGAAGTGAATGGTAGAGTGTAGGGAAGATGTGTGAAAATAAAGGGAAATAAAAATGTTTGAAGT